ATAACATCAATATTTTTCAGTTTAGTGTCCAGTACATGGAATTGATGAAGTTTACACAGTGTGATAAGGTTGGAATTTATTTTTTGAATGCACTTTTTTTATAGAAAGATTAGATAACGGAATATTATGCGCAGTTATTTCATTCTTTTTGTGATAACGAAAACACGTAGCTATTTTATGATATTCTATAACGCAATAAGAGAAAAAAATTCAAGTGAGTGTGTCAGACCAAAGGCTTTTTTTTAGATAGATAAGTCTATTGCCGAAGGTCACATTCAATAGTATCCATTTTTCGATGTGATTATATTAGAGACTCATTATGTTAGAGCAAGACGTCTCGAGTAAAGTCAAAAAATCGTTGTTTCTAGAATCATGTTTGAAGAGCTGTAGAGAAACCGTTTCCAGATTGAATCTTAATAAGACGCATGTTCCAGCTTAGATCAGATATGTTTTTTCTAGTTGTCCTATTAAATCTGTATCTCACGTGTTTCCGTCGTCTACAATCACTTTTTACGTATTCAACCAGTTTTTTCATGTATAAGGTTATTTAAACGAGTATGGTCATTTTGTTAAAATTCATCTTGACCGTTTAAATTTTTTCTGCCATTAATAGTATTTGTTTTTGTACATACACAATTACTATTGAGAACAAGTGTACCCTCCATTCTCACCTTCTCTCTCTCTTTTCTGTTTGAAGTTCATTCTTCGAAAATATTATTAATATCGAGGTTGTTGACTTATTTAAGTTATTGATGTATTACGTGCATAATTTTCGAGGGAAACATATGGGACTTGGAGAATGTGACAGTGCATGTCTCAAGTGCAATATTTCGAATTAAAACACGAGTGCATTTCTAGACTTTCGTTTCAAATATAAACTTGATTTATTTGAGTTTTTCACTCCTACATGCTATTCAGAGTCTCCTTTCTGTCAGAATTCTATTTCGGTAACTAGATGTCCGATCTGAACTAAACTTTTAGCGAAGGATGACTATGTCAAAGTATAGTCATGAATTTGTTTTTGGTTTATTCATCTCCGTTCTTGAGATTAGGCATGCGCCGATTATAACCGATAAATTTCATCTTATTTCTGCAATGGATTGCATGAAAAGTACGCATATCAAAATTTTTATAAAAACTGCATTTTGTAGAGAAAACATTTTTCTACAAGATGAGGTATGGCGGAAGTCGTCATGTTTTTTGTTCCTATCGCAATAGCTTTTTGACTAGGAGCCCTAAATCGGTTATAACAGATCATGGGACTTTTAAAAAATTTTTTTTATAAGTACTAGATCAAGAAGAAGAATACTCCCATAGCTCATCTTGTAGTCAACTGTTTGCTCTGCAAAACCCAGTTGTTAGATAAATTTTAGAGAATCAATTTTCATTGAGAAAAACTTGTAAAAAAAGTACACAATGTCAATTAGTTATAACCGGTGCGTGTTTAACCGAGATGTCGTCATAAAAGTGGTCGACATGAGGCAGCTAATGTTTCCCGAAATGCGCTCACTCACGTTAGATGATACTAGAGAACTCGGGTTGGTTCCATCTCGTAGAAAAATGCTACCACTTTGGCAATACAGAGCCGAATTTTTGAACTTTTGTGTTAGTTATTAAATCGAAGCATCTTCGTTAAAACCCCTAAAAACTTCTTTCAAGTTTTTCAGAAATCCGAAACTTTACTTAACTCTCGGCTCAAAACTCAAAAATCCGACTCCGTATCATTGAAATGACAATATTTCTCTATGAAATAAGACCATCTCGAGCTCTCTAACACGTAAATTCCGTGTTAGGAAAACTTGTAGAGCGACAAAGGGGGAAGTCGACTTAAAAATATGGCGACGTCATTGTATGGTACAGATTTTAGTTTTCATAGTAAAACTGTCATAACTTTCAATCAAAGGTGGAAGACGTCAAATTTTAATCAGAGATGTTTCCTCTAAAAACCAGTATCATTGAAATCGTTTTTGATTCAGGCATTTTAACGAAAAATATTAGAACTTCGGTAAAATCAGTTTTTTTTACGCTTTTTCAAAAATACTTCTTGTGAAACCCTTCAAAACCTTTGATAATGGCAAAATCAGTATGGATTCAAAGAGTAGATACCTCGTGCTATCTATCCATGTGTTTAGCTCAGTATCAACATAACATTTTATGAAAAAATGCATATTTCTGACGGATTTAAGTTTACGGGAGTATTTAAGGCTTAAATACATTAAATGTAAACTATTTCTTCCACAAAATGAAATCTCTTACGATCGTTAGATACATATGACTTATAACTTCGCAGATATACAACTTCTATTTTAGTTATTCTCGAATCCTGGTATTTAGTTAATATCCCATCGTCTACGTTTTTATAATCGCATTATGAAATAAGTGAGATTCTAATTCAAAAACATGATAAGCGCATAAAGGTAGAAGGATAACTACAATACTAGAGAAATCATGTTTTCGAAAGCAAATAAAGTTCCTATTTGTAATGCGTACTTGTTTTTCAATTTGGAATTTTGCATTTGCGACATTCTCTAAGTGCCATATGTTTTTCTGCTCTGATTGCGTTATCAAAAGAGCATGTAACAAGGTCGATAGAATGTATTCTTTCAAACTATTTTCAAAACATTTTTTCTTGATTCACTCGAATTTATATGGCGATATACAGAGAGAAAGATTTTTAGTGGTATTTTCAAATTTATACCGGTATAATATTGGTTATATATCAAAGGTACTAGTAGTAGTGGTATGCTTTTATTTCTTTCGTCAAATAAATGATCGATTCAAGAAAACGAGAAATTGTTTTCATTTTCTTTTATTTTCAGATATATAAATGGCTCGTTCTCAAGAAACAACTCCAACCATGCCACCTATACCCGATCCATTGATCACGGATTCATTGTCGTTTAAGAATCGTTATACCATATTCAAAGAGAAACTTAATTCAAATTTAAATTCGTATTATGATTATTTATTTGATAAATATGCTCAAATTTTGTCAAAATATGCCTGGTGTATACTGACTTTAAGCTTATTTATTACGATTATATTAACAGCATGTTTATATTGGGCACAATTACATCCAGTGGATGAAAATGTTTTAAAAGTGAAAAATAGTATTGCTGAGCATAATGCACAACAAATATTAGATTTATTTGGAAATGATAGTGAATATCGAATCCATCAACAAGTGAAATTGTATCCAGCATTAGATATCATTCTCAAGAGAAAGACAACAACAAACGGAACGACAAACATGTTAGTGGAAGAAGTAATCACTCAGGTAAAGTAAAAAAAAACATCTAATTGTATAAAATGGTTTACTATCAGTTCGTCTCAAACTGACTTCTCAATTCGTCCCACCCAGAGATGTGCAACCCGACCCGACCTGAAGGTTGGGTACGGGTAGAGCACTTACGGGTGCGGATTCTATTTTTTTTTTAATTTACCTGAAAACCGGAAGGTTCTAGTGGAAAACCCACAACATTTTAGTGAAAAAATACAGAAATTTAGCTAACATACATGAAGGTTTAAAAAAGAATTACTTGAGAACGTAATGATAATTTGACATCTTCAGCCGAAAAACAAAACTTTTTAGCTGAAAAACAAAAAGGAGAAAATGTTTAGGTATAAGTCGATTACGGATCGGGTACGGGTACACAGTTCTCGTGTCGGGTATGGGTACAAAGTTGTCGGGTCATGTACGAGTGGAAAAAATTTTCGGATCGGGTACGGGTACAAAAATGGTACCCATGCACATCTCTAGTCCCACGAAGCTTTTTTTCTCAGTTCGTTCCATCAACACTTCTCTCTCGTCCGATATTAGTTTACACTTAATTAGCTTTAGTATAATTATCCGTACTTCTTGCGTACGGTGATATATATGACTGTTGTGGGTGTACAAACAGTTATATTGGACAAACAAGGAGAGCTGAAAAGCGAAAACAAGAACATAAAGATGCTTTTCAAGGTATTGGATTCTCGAGGATTGTACGACTAAATAATGGACTAAGTTACATCTCCGGTATTACATTATTATTGTCATTTACTTTTTCAAAATGACGCATCATACCAACTTCCTGGTTTTTTCTCCACAATGATTGAGCATAATGGAGGAAACAGCCATTGATTTTGATATGTGAAAAAATATCGACAAACGAATTTACTGTGGTTTGTTCGAAATCGTAGGTCAGGTGGTGTTGGTTCATTTCAACATTCAACTTTTTACCATATTCGATTAAATATCTCAATATTTTCGTGTAGTCAAAGAATATGCACATGGTATCATGGATACCATCACCGTCGACTAAACTGTTCGATGGTACAACACTTTATTTATTTTGAGGTGCGAGCATAGATATCTGGACGAATTGAGAAGTCGATTTGAGACGAACTGAGAGGACATCTATAAAATTACAGTATATACTCATCAACTTCGTTCTTTAGATGCGTGAATTAGATCGTTATATTCGTTCTGTTATGATTGTTTCGAATAATCAAACGTATACTTATTCTCAATTGTGCAAGAAAGAATTAAATACCAATATATGTGCCGTTGATGGCGGCTATTTATTGACAGATAAATTTTATAAACAATTTTCTGATTATATACCAACGGGCATTTATTACGACTCAGGTCTAACAGGTTATCGAAATTTTATGTTTGGTAAAAATTATAACGTAGAAGACTTGATAGAAGATTATCATGACGATGAAGATGATGTTAATATAACAACTATTTTACCTGTTAAACAAGAAGAAAAAAAAATTATTTCATATGCACCACTATTTCGTCTAAGATATAATTTAAATACAATAAATGAATCAATGAAACAATTAGCATTAGAATGGGAAAAATTAATTATTGAAAATTTAACATTAGTAGATGAAAAATTTAATCAGTTGAACATATATACATCGGTATCAACAACTGTTAACAGTGAAATATCAAAATATGCTCGATTAGAAGCAAAATCAATTGGTATTATGATTATCGTATTCTTTTTATGTACATGTTTTTGTGTAGGAATAGAAGGAAATTGGTTAACATCTGTGGGATATTTACCACTGTTTGGTATTATTGGATATGCCCTATCTACTGGTGCTACATTTGGATTTTTATCACTATGTAAAATGAGTCTATTAGAACCAATGACAATGTTAGCATTAATTATTGGAAGTAAGTTAGTATAATTTTTTGCATTTTACTATTGCAATTTGGATTTTTCTTCTTCTCATTTATCTAGTTATGGATTGTATTCGTATATCAATTGTCTGCAAAGAATTTCATTTGACTTTTTGTTCTTTAACTATACCATTACAAAAATTACCAGATGATAATAATTCGCCACATTCACTAACAAAACGTCTTAAACAAACACTCAAATATTCACAGCCTCCATTTATATGTACTACCATCATATTATGTATACTCTATGGTCTTATATTTCTAATTTCTAAAATATCGAGTATACGAATATATTCTATGGCATTTTGTGTTTATCTATTTTTTAATTATTTTGTTCATTTAACATTTTTTCTATCGTGTCTAACAATTACATGTAGACGAATCAATTCCAATAGACATTCACTGCTATGTTTAAAAATGAGTAAAATAAAACCTTCAACAGTATCTTCATCATTATCCATAATTATCACCACTCGTTTTCGTCCATATTTTCGTTCATTATACACAAAAACATTTGCCTATTTCATTTGTTTATTAACCATTGTTTTATTCTTCTATTCGTTAGTAACCGTATTCAAAATTGATACTCGTCTAGTTGATTCTCAGTTCATTCCTGTTCAATCTCATTCATTACACTCGTATATGTCGTCATTAGAAAAAGATTTTGATATTGGACCAGTGATTATGTTTACTATACCATCGGCACTGGATTATAAAAATGAAACAATTCAACGAATACAAATGATCATTGAACAGTGTCGAAATGGAATGTCAACAAATGATTTTAATCTTTTCTGGTATAACTGGTTAGATACGAATAGTCAAGATCAATTAACTAGTAGTGGTGGTCATAACTTGTCAAAAATATCATCATTGTCGACAAATAATATTCTATTGGCAAATGATATTCTATTGACAAATGGAACAATTCAAGCATCACGATTCTATTGTCAATTTAAAACTATTCAAGGTAAGAAGTACATAACTTACGAGGAAACCTTCTCAAATGTACTCTCGTTTTTTTAACGAAATGTAGTGGATTCTAGGTAATCGAACATGCTGATTTCGAATTTGATATTCATTTGAGTTAATAGGCCTTTCCAAGCCAGTTTCTGGAAAATCGATTTTCTAGGAACCTCGAAAAATCCCTCAAACCTTTTCTAAATAATTCACGATTGTAGCCCACGAAATTCTCATTAAAATGAGACAGCTTCCAGCTCTACACGACCTTTCTTTGCAAAGTTATAGAGTTTACAGGAAAAGTCCTAAACGTTCATTGTCACCTCAGAACGACAGAACGAAAATGCAAAAAAGAAATTTAGGACTTTTCTTGTAAACTCTACATCTTTGCAAAGAAAGGTCGTGTAGAGCTGGAAGATGTCTCATTTTGATCAGACTTTCGCGGGCACAATTGTGACTTATTTAGAAAAGTTTTGAAGGATTTTTCGAGATTTCTGGAAAATTGGTTTTCCAGAAATCGGGTGGGAAAGGCCTATGAAGTCAGATGAATATCATATTCGAAATCAGCATGTTCGATTACCTACAACCCACTACATTTCGTTAAAAAAACGAGAGTACATTTGAGGAGATTCCCTCGTCAATTAGATCATCGTCTAAATAGGATATGTACAAATTTGATATTTGTAATATTATATAAACATCTATTATAGTAATACTTTATTGAATTCATTGTTATGTTTTTATTCTTTAATTAATATTAATACTTATTGTTCTCAATTTAGGTCGACGTTCTGATATTTTAACAATGGATAATATGTATCGTTATAGTCGTCAAAGTGAAATCCCTGGTCTCTTTCCTTATTCACTTGTCTTCTCTCATTATGAAACGTTAAAACAAATTCACTATGAATTGTTTTTGTTATTTGTATTCTTATTTCATTTATTAATTATATTTACATTTATCTTATTTTTATCTATAAGATTAACACTTATAATTACATTTCATTATGTTTGTTTATTATCAACATTGTTCACATGTTTATACTTGTTTCATTCATTGACAATTAATTTTGCCAATGTATTTATCTTATTTATCGTACCTGGTATATTTGTTGATTGTTTCATTCATTATGGATATAGATATTTAAGAAAAACAAATGGTGAAAATATAAAATCACGTCAAGTAAGTATAAATTCATATATGAAATCATTTTTATAAAGAATTAATTTCTTATTTTCTCATTTTAGTGTTTATTTGGCTATGATCGTATATTTTTATCATTGTTTATATCATTATTTGTTCTAATATTCTTTCAAATTCAAAGTTATACATTTATTGTATTAAGAAATATCTTATTCTATTATGTTGTATTAACATTTATACATTTAAATATATTTTTACCATTATGGTTACACTTATGTAAACCTCGTATGGCTAAAACAGTTTCAACGACAGTCGCAACAATAGAAATACCAACAATGATAAATGGTAGTGGTCAACATACAGCATTAAAATTAAATAGTGATCTGGAAAATGGTAAACCACATCAAAATGTTCCTATTACATGTAAAACTGATAATCATTAAGATTATTATAATTAACATTTTGTTTTTGTTTTTCTATGAATTTTTTAATGTCATTATACATATACACGTGTTGTATATTACGTTGCTGAATTGTTTATTTTCATATATACACATAAAGAAAACTCATTAGGCTCTATATCAAAAACTTTCTATCATACGATATTGCTAAAAATATGTAGAAAAAGAGGTATAAAAAAGACATGATGGGATTGTATGACACTGAAGAAAAGGATCAAGTGATGTATGAAAATTAAAACAAAAAATGCATCTGACTACTCTAGTTTAGCGTAGAACAATGTACAACGATCGGGATATTTAGCCAAAAATCGAAAATGTGTTTTTTTAGATTGAAATACTAGATAATATACTTTGATATATGGGCTATCTAATGCCGAAAAAAGTTTTGATTCTAACTATAAAAGAATCGTCTGAAAACACTTGATCAAAAATGTGTGCAAAAAGATGACATTGATTGAAAAAAAACAACAACTTTTCTATAAGATCCAACTAAGTTATAATTAAAAATCATCCACAATCTGAGTCTAGACACGTTTTACTACTTATTAGTGAAGAACGATTTCGTTTTTGATCTAAAACATCAAAAAGAAAAAATTATTTTCCGAAAAAGTCTAGTTTCCGTCCTTAAGCATATGATCAGTATAATGAGTTTGCTAAAATTTGCTAAATTACACCTTGACTCAAAAAATATACCAAAATGTTCGTCTATGTTTCCTGTACCTGTAGTGAATGCATAAACTTTTCCGGGTTTTTCTATTCCAAAAAAATCCTGATTTATTAGATAAAATTCATGTTTTTCGGTCCGGGAATGCTTTTATTGAAAAATAAGGCCATATTCAGAATCAGCGCAAAAAAACTGCATCGGACGATGTATAACATAAAAATGTTTTAGAAAAAGCTTTTGAGAAACAGTTTAGATAGAAACTCACCTTATAGCTTTTTGGCCAAAAAGAAATTTTTCTGAAATAAATTTTTTTTTGTTAGCTTTAAGATGGTTCCATGCGCAATAGACAATGATTTCTGATCACGGAAGAACAGTTTTCGATGAAAACAAATCTGATGTCAGTATCGAATGATGAGGTTTTCCAGAAGTTAGCCTCTGGAATACCATGAAGAAAGCACATCGAACGTCTTTAATTTAAACTATTAGAAGGAGCATATATGAAAAACATAGAAAAAAGTGTCTTTCTAAACTCCCAAATACTTTTTTTTAAGAAGTTAAGATCATAAGCCAAAATTGTTTGCTGTGTGCGAACATTGTTTCTAACCACGAGGTACTTGACGCACCATTGAAGATGATCACAGCAGGATAACTATGCTATTTACCATATAAATTTGGACACTCTGAAAGTGTCGAAGTATCACGAAGTATCACTTCAGACTGATGTAAGGCTCGTATCGTGAAGAATCTCATCCATTATCCATTTTTGGTCCTGACATTATTTGTTTTCGCCCGTGTGCTGAATATATTTTCGGAAGCAAAAAATGTTTTTATAGTCATTGCCCCAAAGTATAAAGGATATGGACAGTTAAAATAGAAAAATTTCTCCCAACATTTTCCACTTTTTTCTATCAAAAATGTGTCAGGAGGTTACTAGAAACATTTTTTCGGACTTAGTTTCTCGAAATTTTGATACGAGATTTTTGACATCTTTGGAGGACCTCAGACTTACTGGAAAAAATTTTATCTCGAATTTTCCTAAAATCACATGCTGTAGGTTTAGAATTTCCAAAGTCCATCAAAAAATGAACAAAATCAGATGTTTCTAAACGTTTTCGACCGGAAACTGGATTTTTCAGAAGCCTACCATTTGAAAAATGACTAATTTTAAAAACA